AAGCGTAGTTTCTGAACACCTCAACTAGGTTTTTACGCCAAAAACTCGACAAAGAAGTATGACATGAAGTGAACGAACAGAAGAATTCACAGTGTCTATTTAATTATGTGATCTCATAAGCTGATTTTCTTAAGCTGAGGCGAGGTTGGTACAGGTCTTCGTTGTCGTTGTCGTTGTTTTTGATATCATTGGTCGATGGCTGACGTTTCGGCGACTTCGCCTTCCTCAGAGCCGTAATGTTACGTGTGGGACAGTGTATACTTTTTATTTTCTGCTTTCTGTATTTTTTATGTTAGGGTATTAAGCGAAATACAACCACAACACTGCTAAGATATTTGCAAAACTCCAGACCTTAGGTGTCTGCGGTGGGGAACGAACCCGTAATTGTTCTTTCCGGGGTGTAACACGTTCACCACCACATCATGCAAGTCCTTCGTTTCCCCTGTCTCACAGCTACTTCTTTCGATCAGTGCCGTCAGCAATCACCCGCCAACAGTATTGACCTGGGGACTCCACATCAGCATTGAACCTAGTTAAACTGAGGCTGTAGTTGAATTCACAATGTTTACTTTTTATTTTCTGCTTTATATAATTTTATAGCAGGGTATTGAGCGAAATACAGCCACAATATTGCTGAGATATTTGCAAAACTCCGAACCGCAGGTGTGTGCGGTGGGGAATGAACACGCTGGGAGACAGGCGAAACGAAGGACCCGCATGGTGTAGTGGTGAACGCGTTACTCCCCGGAAAGGACAGTAGTGCGTTCGCTACCAACCGCAGACACCTGCGGAACAGAAGAATGTTTGTCGTTACGAACTGTATTCTACAGTACAAAAACGAGCAATTTTTTTACCATCTCCTCAAAGGCGTCTTTATTCTGAGAATGGATTCAGCTTTTTTTTTATCAGGAAGCTCAAGATGCGTTTAGCACTAATCAATTACTATGGAATGCGAAATACGTTCGACTTAATTAATGGCTAGAAGTGACTGAATGCATACCTCGCCTCAACGGTGATTAAATGTGTCCTACGAATGTATGAAGTGAGTGTTGCTATTCTTCCATAAAAGTCGTGTACCAACTTCCCGACTCCGGAGGGACGGAAAGTTCGGTGAGCCGAGGACGCGAGACCGAATCAACACCCACGTGCGTGCTATAGGGCACCTCTAAACTGCGCTACACGCCCCGTCTACTAATGTATCTTTTTCAGAATCAATTTTTTTGCATTGCCTAGAGTATTAAAGCTCGCTAGGACGAGTCATTCAGGTATAAAATATAACAATTTCAACACTGCTGAACATTTGATATTTCATATTCCATTTTGCACACAAAGATCCTTGTAGGAAGGAAAATATCTCTCGCGTATACCAAAGCTTTTTTTTTCTTAGAGACCATTGTGATCATAACGTTGCTGAGATATTTGCAAAACTCTGGACCGCAGGTGTCTATGGTGGGGAACGAACGCGCTATTATCCTTTCCGGGGAGTAACGCGTTCACCACCACACCATGCGGGTCCTTTGTTTCGCACGTCTCTCAGC